GGCTGGACTTAACTGTGTGATCTTCCTGTCCTGGCATCCCAAAATGTTATTCCTGCTCTCTGAAAAACAAAACAAAACAAAAAAGGGCAAACCCTTACTACCCACAAAGTACTGGTAAGATCAGGTCTAGCTTGCAATTTTTCCATCCCTTACAAATTTAAAGAGCCTCCCAGGATAAGACATTGAGGACAGAGACATAACACAGGAAAGTTGCTTTTTTGCTGCCCAGAAACACACTCCTCTGGTCCCACAAACATTTATTTCATTAGATAAAAATTTATTGAGCACCCACTATGTGCAAGGCATTCACTAGGTGCTACAATACAGAAAGTATGACAAAGTGTTTACATATGTAGACTCAGAGCTAAACCCTGATAGTTTTCCTGATATGAGAAAGAATGCCCTGTATGGCTCATTTACAGAGCTAAGAGCATGGATAAGGTCTGCTACTGTCCTACCAGCCCAGCACAAACTTTTACTTTCCTCAAATCAGCTATAAGTCAAAACAAATAAGGCACATTTTTTAAAAAAAAATTCCCCCCTTTAATTGACCAAAGTAAAGCCATCACATTTCATTTGGTAACCTGCTCAGAATTATAAAAATCATTCCATTTGGCCCAGCCCATACTGTCCAGGGCAAAACTTCCAGACAATTCTAATTCCATCCGGCTCTGTTCTTATAAACTTCGTATTAAAAAAAAATCTTCAACGTCCTAAATATGACGCGCTCAGTGCGAAGCGTATCGGAGCTGAATGCAGCACTTATGTTCTTGATAGGCCTCGATTATCCAGGTCCTTTACCTGCAGCATAAAAATGCCAGTTTAATATTAACAAGTCAACTTTGGAGAGTATTTCTACTAAAAATGGGTTCATGAGAGGAGGAGGGAATACACTGGGTTCTGCTGCCGATGTGGCATTGTGATTAAAGGAGCATGGGTTTGAACTAGCTACTCTGCTTTTATAGTACCTCCCAGAAGAAGCAATGTAAATGATCTACCTTTCATGTGGATGAAGGACTCAATCTTTTCCTAAGAGACAACACCCTTGGATATGATACTATGTGACTCTGCCATAAACTCTTCAGTAGAAGAAAATGGACTTCAGAAATACAGATACAAACTTTCCTTTTTTACCCCCACACCTTATAATCACTGAAACATGTTGAATCAAGCCACTACTAGAAAAAGCAGCAACAACCGCCAAGATGACAGCCAACCATGATGTCATGTTTTAAGGACACTCTAAAGGGGCTGGGGATTTAGCTCAGCGGCAAAGCGCCTGCCTGGCAAGTACAAGGTCGTGAGTTTGGTTCCCGGTACCGGAGAAAAACAAAACAAAACAAAAAAGACACTCTAAAATTAAAACAGTGAAATGTTGTCTGAGCTGCTAGCTACTTTTCAGGCACAGGTGTTATTATAACTGTTCCTATTTGAAAAATACGTAGCCAAGTTTTTAAGCACCAGAACCCATCTGAAAACACAAAAGCTTTTTCTTAAGACAGTACAGCACTTGCTCACCTTATATATCCTGACCAGCCAGTGTTCTGTAGTATATGCTTCCTCAAGGACATCAAGCTCAAAGTCTTTATTCCCAATCTCAGCATTTCGGACGCGGTCAAAGCCTGGTGGACGCTCTAGGAAGGGACAAAGAAACAACACTTCTTTCTACAATGCTAATTTCCAAAGAGACACTAAATAAACTTGGAACACCGTCTATTCTTCACATTGTTATTCCCCAGCTTGCAAGGTAATGAGAGAAGGTAATGAGACAGTAGAGTCTGCAGAAGCATGCATGAGATAGTAAATTTTACCCTAACCCAAATCCTGTCCAAAATGATACTTGGCAGAGTCCACAGAGCTTATCTCTTCTCAGAAATAAGGGCCGACTTCCAAACCCCTGTGTTCTTCCGAACTGCCATCCAGAGACCACTGTTACCCATCCATAAACCTCCCATGGATCAGAGAAGCCAGCAAGGGCTTGCCTCTGTGGAAAACCAGGGAACTGGAGCCTAATTGTCATCCTCTGTGAGCACGAAGGAAAAAAGCAACACATAGAGATGCTGGCATGTTGTAGGGTCTAAGGAAAAGTCAGTAGAGCTGAAATTAAGTAGTTTACCTGTGAATGTATTAATAAATAGTGAAAGGCAAATAAATCTTGTGTTACTTTAGTTGTTTATACCCGTGTCTGAGTGAATCAAAGCAGGAAGAGCCAGATGATTTGGGGCTCCCCTGCCCACAACAGGCAAGAACCCTCTGGCTGTCCATATGCTAAATGAACTCTGTCTCTTTAGCATTCTTCCTCGTTCACCCTTGAGTCAGTAGCAGGACCGGGGTCCCTACAGGGCACCTGGGTGCAGAAAGCTTAGAGGAGTGGGCTGGCTCCCAACAGGTGGCATCTGGGCAGGCCGGTCCACTACAAGCATCCACTTTACAAACTGTCTATACCGCAGAGCCACAAAACTGAAGCCTGAAGAAAAGACTTAACCTGATCAAATCCCTCTCAATGTATTCACCTAACGAAATGAAACCCTTCATCTTCTTTTTAATCTTTTCCTCACTGAAATCCTCTTTTCTGAGAAACAATAAAAGATGACTATTTAAGCCAGACATGGTGGCACATACTTTTAATCCTACACTCTGAGAGGCAGAGGCAGAAAGACTACAAGTTCAAGCCCAGCCTGGGAACAATTTAGCAAGACTCTGACTGAAATAAAAAAAATTTTAAGGGGTTGGAGGTACAGCTCAGTGCAAAGGCCGTGGGTTCAATCCCCAACACCAAAAAAAATTAAAAATAAAAAAGGATGAGCATTTAGAAGCACAGAATCTGAGGTCAAACTGCCTGAGTTTGAACCCTGACTTACTTGTTAGTCATGCAATGCTGGGGAATTTAATAACCTACTGATACCTCAATTTATAAAATGCCAATAATATAGCATCTACCTTTTGAGTTGCTGTAAACATTAAGTGAGTAAACAGATCTAAAGTGCTTACAGCAGCGCTTGAAAAGCACAGTATATGTTAGCTATCACCATTATGACGGTGTTGCTAATGGCGAGAATCACTCACTGGCTTCTGTGTAGACCTGCCCAAAGCGGTAGTAACACATCTTATACATGAGGCAGTTGAGCAACACTGGAGAACCTTCACGGTCCACACGAAATTCCCCTGTTGGAGTATAATAGTCATTCTCCTTGATATGTCTGCCTGTGTCTGTGCTCCCTCCAATCCGGACCATCCAAAGAAATTTGTTGATATCTAAAGAAAAAAAGAAAAGAAAAAGTTGCTGCATCAGATAGGTTGCTGAGTCTCTCCGTCCTTCTTTTCAATCCTGGCCTTCCTTCCAGCCATCATACCGCAGTGACAGGAATCACTGGTGAGGAGGTAATATGCTATTTTTTTCACAACCCTTAGGCTGTAACTACTTGTTAGATCCTTCTTGCGTATCTCTGTCTTCCTGAGAAACCACTTTGAAGATACCATCATGTATTACAGCAGCCATTGATATTTTCCTACTAATCTATCCATAACTCTGCAATGTTTATATTGTTCCTATCCTATTTCATAAATGGATGTATGTTTATTATTATGTGTTTCCTACAACAACCATT